CAGCAGTTGCAGTTTGGCAGGTCAGTTTGTGAAAACAATTAGTGCTTTAAACATTGGGACTAGTCAGATGGTTTGTTTACAAGAACTTGCTGTTCTGCTATTTAAATGTAAGATCCAAGTTTTCCTGTTTTCACCCTAAATGGCAGCAGGACTCAATGTCATCTATGATGTTCACAGGGATGTTTGATCCTGTTGTTACAACATGGATTTTTGTGCTGTGGCTGCCACAGTTTCTTATGACTGATGGCTGAGTTCACCAAGCACCTCTCCTAGAACATTTTGGAAAACCAGATAATTTTCTGTGAGATATTCTGGTGGTCATGGCCATGATTTCATCTATATCATGTGTGTGGGATACTGGTTATAGTATTTTCTTTATTTTTATTTTCCTTTAGTGAACATTTTTAGATGCTATTGGCATTCTCTGTAGTATTGTGTGGTAAGATTTTTGGAAATTAACAGCTTTCACCTCCATTAATGTTTAGAAGTTATCGAAATTATTCTAAGAAAACAGAAGTTTGACTTGAAGTAAGAATATTTTGCTGAGATTTTCTAGGCTACATAAGTGGTTCACACCTGTGTCCCAAAGGTGTAAGGTGCTTTTACACCTTTAGATCTTTATAGATGGTGACTAGAGCAACTTTATTTGGAATTTGTGAAAATAAGCAGCATTTAACTTTGATATATGCATAATCTCCAAGCCTTTGGGATATACTATGGAAACGTGGAAGACAGAATACTTGTTGAGGACAAGCTCTATTCTTTGGGAAGGATTGTTTTCCCAGGCTTTGGAAAAATTTGTTAGACTTCGAGTTTATTGGACTGTTTCCTCCTTCTATAAAAAAAATAATGAGGAGAAATTATGTTGCAGCAATACTTCTATTTTTCCTTTTTTTTACTTATCAGTACAACTTCAGAATCTGTCACCAGAGAAGCATGTCTGCTTGGTGTAATCTTGGTGTCCGAATGAAACGGATCTGTGCAAAGGGATAAAATGGGGTCTCGGTGCTGGTGAGATAGGAAATCCTGTAAAAAACTCATTTATGATTTTTGGTTGCTTCTGTAAGGTCGTAGTTTTCTCTATTTGTGAGGCTCAATATAGGAGGATTTTGGTGCCCTTCAGGTTTAGTATTTATTTAAAATATGATGAGTTCTCCATATAGACATAATAGTGAGACAACAGAGCTAAATCATGATTTAATCACATATCATTGCTGTAATGTACTCCCAGTAAGACCTATTGGGCAGTTTGCTCTTGTTTTTGGACCTATGAGTGGTACATCTACATGGCAATGCCCAATGCAGACTGACCAGGGTAAGCCAACCCAAGCTTGGGAAACTTGGGGAATTTTCAGGTTATGCTGAGAAATCCTGTGTTGAGAATTTGGCCTGGGATGTTCATTATTTTTGAGAGTGTTGCACTGGAACAGAGTGTCAAAGAGTGTGGCATTAGAACATCTGATCCTGGACTGCTTCTTTTGAGAGGACAGATAAGGGTATGGAGGATAACTTGGGAGTGCTGTATTCAGTGACTGACTACAACTTCTAGTTCTGCTTGGCGTGAGCTACGAAACTTTTGTTTTCACAGACTCATAGAATTGTTTGGTTTGGAAGGGATCTTTAAAGATCATCTGGTTTCAACCCCCCTGTCACAGGCAGGGACATCTTCCACTAGACCAGGTTGCTCAGAACCTCATCCAGCTTGGCCTTGAACACTTCCAGGGATGATACAGCTGCAGCTTTTCTGGGCAACGTGTACCAGTGTCTCACCGCCCTCAGAGTAAAGACTTTTCTTCTTGTATCCAAGAAGTTCCTCTCTCTGATGGAAACAAACCAAGGACACATATGGTCTGTAGATACAGAGCTTTCATAAATAGGAAGGACCCTCACCAAGCTAAAGTGAGGTCAAAGCCCTCAAAATTTTTCATTTGAAATTGATTTTAAAATATGGTATCGTTGAGACTCTAGGGAATTCAAAACAAGGGAGAGGGGGTTTCCTGGGTCACTTCTCCCACTCCTGTGGTCAGCAGTTGAGGGTTTTGAAAGTTCAGTCCACAAGGAATCATGGAATCATAGAATCAGATGGGTTGGAAAGGACCTCTGAGATCGTCAAGTCCAACCCTTGATCCACTACTACCGTGGTTACTAGATCATGGTGAGCGCCTGAGTGACTGAGTGCCACATCCAGTCTCTTAAAAACCTCCAGGGATGGAGAATCCACCACTTCCCTGGGCAGCCCATTCCAATGTCTGATTACTCTCTCTGTAAAGAATTACTTCCTAATATCCAACCTCAGCCTCCCCTGGCAGAGCTTGAGACCATGCCTTTATGTCTTACTGATAGTTGCCTGGGAGAAGAGACCAACCCCCACCTGGCTACAACCTCCTTCCAGGGAGTTGTAGAGAGTGATGAGGTCTCCCCTGAGCCTCCTTTCCTCTAGGCTAAATGAACCATTTCAGCAAAAAGTAGGCAAAAGTCTGACTTTCTCTGTAACTGTGGGTTACATAAAGTATTTTAAAAAATATATCTTAAGATTTTGGGCTTTAAGAGTTAATCAGTTTATTATGAGACCTGTACTGTCTGATAATTATTAGATTTGTATTGTGAGGCCTCACCTCAAGTACTGTGTGCAGTTTTGGGCCTCAGAATGTAAGAAGGATATAAAAGTATCTGAATGTGTCCAAAAGAGAGAAACAAAGATGATGAAAGGACTAGAGGGCAAAACTTGAGGAGCAGCTGAGGACACTAGGTCTGTTCAGCTTAGGGAAGAGACTGAGGTGTGATCTCTTTGCTGTCTACAGCTTCCTCATTATGGGAGCGGTCAGGGAGCTGCTGCTCTCTCCTCCCAGGTGACAGGGCATGAGGGAATGGCTTAAAGCTGTGTCTGGGAAGTTGACATTGGATGTAAGGAAAAAGTTCTCCACTGAGAGGGTGATCATGCACAAGAACAAGCTCCTCAGGGAAGGGGTCATGGCCCCAAACCAGTTGGTGTTCATGGAGTGTTTGGGCAATGCTCTTAAGATACATCATGGGATAGGTTTTAGTGTCCTGTGTGGAATCTGAAGTTGGGCTCGATGATCTTCATGTGTTCCTTCCAGCTTGGGATATTCTGTGGTTTTGTGATTCCATTGTGATTACTCATTGAAAGACACCTAAAAGCAGACTGAAAGTAAGAGAATAAAGCGAGTTGGAGGAAAGATCAGATGTGTAGCTCTTATTCAGTAAGACTGTAAATGTGGAACAAGTCACGTGAAGGTGAAAATCTGGTGATTCTGGGGGTGTTCTCCAGCATTCTGCTTCTGTGTCATGGTTTCAAGTTCTCTTTTAGACCTCCTCGACAGAACAGCTTTTGCAGAGAAGCGTGCTGGAGAAATGTTTGACAACCGTGGCAGCGTTTTTTGGGAAGGCTATTTATAGATTTCAAGTGTCTCTTGATAGGTTGCTTGGTAGGTTCATGTCTTGGAAGAGAGCCATGCTTCCTTTTTGCATCTTTCTGCAGTTGATACCTAATGTCTCTGTGAGAGATCATTTGGACTCACCAGTTATTCCATTTCTTTTTTTAAATATGTATGTATGTGTGTGTGTGCAGCCACAGATCTTAGACATTTTTATTTTTAGTGAAGAAATGTGCAGTAGGTACATAAAGGTGGAACCACAGTCCTTTCCAGTTGTGTGATTTTTGTGAGGAGAGGTACAGGAGTTTTCATGCAGAGGAAGGGAGTATGGAGGATGGGATATTTCCATACTCAGTATTAAAATCTGTGGTTGTATTGAGAGGGGAAGAGTTGGGTGGGTTTTGTTTGTTTGTGTGTGTTTTTTGTTTCGGTTTTCATTTTCGTTTTTTGTTTGTTTGTTTGTGGTTTTTTGGGTGTGGGTTTTGTTGTTGTTGTTGTTGTTGGTTTTTTTTGGTCTGGAGAGAAGGTTTGGTATCTGAAGAGAGTTTTGGTTTTTTTTAAATTCAATATTTCCTTCCTGTAGCCTCATCCCGTACAATAGTTTCTCCACATAGAGCAGAAGGATAATGATGGATACATTTCAGTATTTAACTAAAATTGTCTCATCCAAAGTACTAAAATTGTCTCATCCAAAGTACAAGATCGCTGCATTGTCTTAGTTCTATGTTTTTATAGCAGTGAATTTCTTATGCTTTTCCCTCAGATTAGTATTAGTGAATATTTTGCAATTCTAAAGAATTATTATTACAGCTGAATTATTATTAAGAAGAATTATTATTATTTCAAGATAATAATTATTATTATCTTGAAAAGGATACATATTAGAAACTCAAAATTGGTCTTAGTACTCTGATATGTATTATGAAAGTGTATTCTGTTGAGACTCTTCAAATGCTGCTCTGAGTCTTTATGCAGTAGCTCAGGAAAAGGAATAACTTCACTGTGTTGCTCCTGGGAAAAAAAGTGGCTGATGACAGACTTTTATTAGGACAAATCTTTTTTTCAGAATACATCATGTAAGAGTGTTTTCTTTGTTAATAGTGTGTGGAGTAGTGGAATGGATGAATTTGAATAATAATTGTTCTTCCACTTGTCTCAGCAGAAGCTTTTGGTTGCAGAGCTCAGGGTTGCACTGTTTTTTTACGATATACATAAATATTTACCAGGGAGAGCTGGCAAAGATCTGCTGGGACCCCAAGCCTGTGCTCCCACCAGGAGAAGGCTGTCCCCAGCCATATGTTCTGGCAACTGTTTGTGTACATCACACAGCAGTTGCTGAACAGTTGGTACTGTTTTCCTTTAAGAATGTGCCACAAGGCCCAGGACTGCACTGCATACCCTATAGAAAAAAAAAAAAAAGACAAAAAAAATTCCCCCCACCCCCTTCCCAGTGTAAATTCAGCTGGTTCAGCAGCAGCCCCAAGCCGGGCATTGTTTGCTGTCGGAAGTGGGAGCTGAAGGCGCGGACGTTCCCCCGCTCAGCGGGAGCGCAGCGCAGTTTTGCCCTTGTTGCATTATTAATGGCACGATGTTTTTATGTTGCAGATGGCTGAGAGCTAGCGAGGCAGATCCGGGACCATGATGGCTCAGTTTCCCACAGCCATGAACGGTGAGTAGCCCCGCTCGGTTTGCTCAGGTCGGGGTGGGAGGTTTGGCTGGGTTTTGCCTGTGTTTTTTGGTACCTGCGGCGGCGTTACGGTCACTTTGCTGCAGATCGCTTCCCGGAGCCCAACCTGTGCTGGGAGGCTGGGAGAGACACGGCAGGGGCATCACTGCAGTGTAATTTGGAGTGCCTGGCAATCTCGGGTCGTTTAAAGGGTTGAGGAATGTGTGAGTTGTAGTGTGAACACTGCCTGACTTCAAGTGGGGAATATGCTAAGTAATAGTTGATTAAACTTGCATACCTTTTCTGTTACGTAATTCAGCACAAAACGTGTTCCATTATAATCCATTACGCTATATAAACAAAATATTTGAGTGTGTCAAGCAGTTTGTGACATTGATGAAAACAACCAGTCTTTGTCAATTAAAAAAAAAAGTTAAGAATTCTCCTCTTCATTTTGTGCCCCTTCCTCTATAGAAACTTTTGGATTTGTTTCATGCTGATTTCCTTTCAAAGACATGAGAGTTGGAACCTTAAAGTTGTTTATGTGTGTATGTATGGGACAGAGCTTATTTGTGAAGATATGATTTGCAAAGATGTGCTCAGAAATTTGACATTTGCATATTGTTGTTTACAGAGCTGGCCAAAATGAAAGTACAAGTATAGAAATTATGTTTTGCATTGTTTTGCATATTCAGTTTTTCCAGATAAGGAGTAAATATTTCTCCTGATAAAAGTGGGGAAATAGATACAAGAATGAGAATTTCTTAGCTCATTTGTCTGTGAAGGTTACTGCAGGACTGGGAGGTCTTTATTGAACTCATTTAGAAAATTCTCACTGCTGAGATAAATTGGGTGAGTAAGGGAAAGGGTTTTTTTTTGGTTTTTGTTTTGTTTTGTTTTTCAAAGGAACAACATTAAGATTTCAAATTAACCCTCTGTTTTACATACCTGTTTCATATGTGCATAAAACATTTAGTGAAAAAAAATTGTTGTGATCAACACTTTTTTTATACAATCAACTGCAGTTTGTTCCAGAGACCTAACAAAAAAAGGAAAAGTAAAAGGAGTCAATATATTATATAATAGGGGAAAAATTATATTCACTTTACTGGACATAATGAATTTTTTTTTAATTGCCACATGCTTTTTGCTTCGTGGTTTAAAATAAAAAAACAGAAATCTCTTTGAGGAAGGTACAAATTTATGTTCCTGGCTGTCTCTGTGTTTGATGTACGAACAAGTTATTTGGTGTCTTTGTTTTGAAGTGTATTGACAGCACTGGGCATGTACATGACTTGATCTCAGAAGCCTTAGTTTGGGAGAGTGATCCTTTCCTTGATCTGAGATCCCCTGGGCAGTACTGTCTGCTGCTCTCAAAGGGAACGGTGCCAGAGGATGCTGCCTTTCCCCTCACAGAGTTTTTACTGTGTTGAAAGGCATAGTAAGAGAGACACCAGGCAATAGTTAAGCTGTTGCTCCTCACAGAACAGTTGAATGGCTCTCTGTCTAGTTCTGTAGTCATATTTCTCGTCAGAATTGCCTAAATTTCAAACAAGTCAGATGGGGAAAAAAGGAATAATTTTAATGTGATTTCTGGATAAATACTGAGCAACCTCTGCCCTTGAAATTCTTCTTTAACCCGTGTTCTGCTTCCTTGCTACTTAGCACTGCTGTAGTGGTTGCATTCAAAGTAGATCACCTGCATTTGCCACTCATTGCAGGAAACCTCTAATTATGTTGTTAGAACTTGGTAGTGACTTGAAGCATGAGATGAGGAATGAGGTTATGTGTGAGGCAACTAAGCCATCAGGCATTGCTGCAGCCTGGGAGCTCTGGCTGTCTGCCTCACCTTCGGCTTAGCACAGCATTGACCCTTCCCTTTTGTGTCCTGCTGGGGGAAGTGGTGGTTTTCTTCTGGGGGAAGAAACCTTTTATTCTTATCAAGATACAATATTGTACCTTGGAGGAAGGTAGATTTTAGTTCATGATTAGTGTAAGGCATGAAGTAGTTTCTGTTTCAGGTTTCTGTTTCAGGATTATTTTTGGCACTCAGTGTTACAGAAGAGTGAGTGGATAGCGTGGAGCAGATGGGTGTACAAGTGTGTGATGATGTGACACAGGGTGACAAGGAGTTTGAGAACTGCAGGGTTTAAATGTCAAAGCTTGATACTCAGTCTCAAACAAACACAGGAGATGCTACAACACTTTATTTACCAGCCTAAGCAGAGAAAGCCATTCTGCACAAGACCCTGAGAAGGACGGGTAACTGAGCCATGTGCTTGACTTCCAGTGGAGACATTCAGCTTTGTTGAGGCACCTTCAGAATATACCTTGGCTGAGCTGGCTCCCAGAACTGTCCAGCTTCAGCACGTGGCTGATGGCCAAATTGTGTGCTGTACTGAGAGCTGGCATGTTGTTTTGTAATTCTGTGGCCATATGTAAACTTCAGCTCATTGCAGTGTTGTGTGCTCTAGGGGCACGTGCTCTTGCCAGACCTTTCTTCTCTAAAGTCATGAAAGGACACAGCTGGTGGAGAGGAGTTCCCTTTGACTCTCCATTGCTGTCCAAGGTGACCTTTGTAGATGCCTCACTAATAAGCTGGAAATTCAAAGAGGAAAAGAAGGACAAAAGAGTGTGTGCAGATTTCTTTACAAATTTATATCCTGCGCAAAGTGTAAAGGTTATTATGACATTTGATATGAACGGGCAAGGCTGAGCAGCATGTGGCTTATGTATAAAGTCTGCCAGTTACAGCACCAGATGGATAACATACATTTATCTATGTGGAGTCCATTCTACCAAAGAGCCACTCCAGGCATATCCATCTCCCCAGTCTGCAAACAAGATCAAGGATTCCCTACTGAGGGCTTAGTTTTATCCTGTAACTGTCTGAATATTGATCATTGTTTCTGTGAAAATGGTAATACAAACTTAGTTCACGGTAGTTGATTCTCCTTACGTACAGTTCTCCATCTGGACAAAGCTGTCCTAGGAATTCATCCCAAGTCTTGCAAAAGCTTTTGGAAATGGCATTTAGTTAAACTAAATAACAACTATCTTCAACAGTAGTGTTTCTAAAGAAAGACTTAATGTGCTAACCACAAAGAACACTTAAAAGAATAAAGGCTTTCTTTAATAGGTTAAGATGTACTTCCATCTAATTTGTTTCTGTGATTGCAGCCTTTGTCCCAGAGTGGGAAGAAGTAGCCTTCACTGCCATGGGATGTTTCTTTCCATCTGGAGAGTAGCTGTAAGATGTTTCTGTTCCAAGTCCCCTTCCTTCTTCTGTAGGCTGAATTTGTTCAGGGTTTCGTATCAATGCTGATGGTGGATCTTGGTTCGGGGAGATTTAATCTGAACAGCCCAGCTGGAACAAGGAAAGCAGTATTTGCCGATCAGTATCTTTCACATTGTTTCCTTAAGTAGCACTGGAATTTTTGGGCTGTGTGCTTTTTTTTGTTTATGTTTTTATTTGTCCTTCCTCTTCCCTCCTACCACCTGTTTCCTTTCGATACAAATTTTTTGTGGTCCAGCAGGAAAATAAGTTCTGATAAACTGGGGTGCAAAGCGTAAGTTATGACTCATTTCATGTGCTCCTAAACCCTCATAAGTCAAACTGGATTTTTGTGTTGCTCTGAAGAGAATTGAGTTTTGTGTCCCCACACTTAGGTGTGTTGGAGACTGGGGTGGACACGAAGGGGTTGTGTGAGGTCCTGGTTCCCCTGGTGTCAAAGTCAAAACACTCACTGATAGGTTCTACTGTTCTTTTTAAAACAGTCAGTCTCAAGGCTTGTGAACTTTTTTTGAATTAGGAGGAGCCCTGGTCATCAGAGTTCAATTAAAAGCTGCTTGAATGCAACCTGACTCTTAACCTTGTGTGCACTGTAGATACGGAAACTGTAGACTTGCAAATCAACAAGCGCAGATAAAGATACAAAGCTGAATTAGACCTTGCAAAGAAAATGTCAGAACTTGCTCTCCCACCTAAAAGAAGGAAAAGGAAAGAAATTCTGAGACATGGACAAATATTTGTTATGTTCTTACTTATGAATTAATCCCTCCTCTCACTCTTCAGTGAGGACAGTGATGTCAGTTGATACAGAGCAAAATTCAAATGCTCAAGTCAGGGAGTTTATATCCTCCACTGTTACACCCTGCAAAAAATTAGACTTCCAGTTGTGTTTGCCATATTATGTGTTTTCTTTAATCCTAACAAGTCAGAAATAGCCCTACAGGATTGTGGAATACAAAGTCTCTTATTCATATTTAATTATGAGGATAATATGATTCACATGGCAGATGTAAGAGGAAATCTTAGAAGGAAGAAATAATTAGATATGGAGGTAAATGTTAAATGGAGTAAATAGAATCAGGCTTTAACAAGGGAAGGTTGTTACTTTATTCCTTCTTCACTAACTGAATTTTGTATAAAAAGTGTAACAGATCCCATGGTTGGACTTCATTAGGGAAATAACTGGCTAAAAGAAAGAAAAAATGCATGTTTTAAGCTGGAATGTTGTAATCATGGTATTCTTCATGGATTTTATCTTGAGGCCGTCTTAGTTATTATTTATGGTAATAGTATCAGTAAAAAGCAAATGTATACTGGTAAAATTAGGCAATATCACAAACTTTGATGTAATTTCCCAGCCAGAATTACACAGTATGGACCACACATCACTGGTTAAATTTCATCCCATTTATGTTGTGCTGCCTCCAAATAGAGTTTTAGCTATAGCATTATAGGCTGGAAGGATTTTTGCTGTACGCTGGAAGCTCAGCAGTTGGCTGTGACTAAGGAGGAAGGCAACCGGATGTATTAGATGATCACGTAGTAATTACGTGATTTGAGGGAAAGGAAATGCAGCCTAAAATGTGGTGGGTGAAATAAGGAGTGCTGTGTGCTATTGCCTAAGGCACTGGTGAGACATCTTGTAGGATATAGGGTAGAATTTGGGTTATCTGCTGAAGAGGAGAAAAAAAACCCAGGAAGTAAAATAGAT